AAGGTGTGAGCGCTGTATTTTTGATTGACTATATTTTGCAGGTCATGGAGGTTGGTCAAGGCTGTTTTTTGCCATCCATACTCTATTGTATTAGCACGTTTATGCTCTATGGTTAATCTGTTTTCTCATTCATACTCTGTCCCTTTCTGCAATTTGTACCCGCTGCTACCCCGGCCATGCAGGCTGCTACCCCGGCCATGCAGGCTGCTACCCCGGCCATGCAGGCTGCTACCCCGGCCATGCAGGCTGCTACCCCGGCCATGCAGGCTGCTACCCCGGCCATGCAGGCTGCTACCCCGGCCATGCAGGCTGCTACCCCGGCCATGCAGGCTGCTACCCCGGCCATGCAGGCTGCTACCCCGGCCATGCAGGCTGCTACCCCGGCCATGCAGGCTGCTACCCCGGCCATGTACAATGTAGGCTGCTACCCCGGGCAGACTGCTATACAGGCTCAATTCAATAAAATGTTACATCATGAGTATTTTTAGTACATAAAAAAAAAACCAAAATACTAAGAAAATTTACAGTTTTGTTATTTTAACCAATGTCTGAAATATACGAGCTCATAAAACGATGTAATCCAATAATTAGCAGCAGACCCAAGTATCATAAATTGGAATGAAGTACATATATTAACTGTAAATCTGTCAAAACTACTTACGAACACCCATGCTAAATATCATTCTGGTGTACATCATCATAGGTACTGAAAATTTGTCATAATACCCATGTAAATTACATGTAACTTTCACACTTTTACATGTATACATGTATATGTCATCATCTGTATATGGAACAGAAAAAGGGGGATATTTGCAGGGCTCAAAATAAGCAAAATATCTTGTGCGGACTAGGCCAGACGTTTTTAAAGCTCATAGTCCTATAGTAATTAATAGATTGATAGTTTTTTTATTTGACACTAAATTATGTACAACCACATGTAACATACATTGTCTGAGGTCAAAATTATCATTTAACAAAACATTGACACAACATTGGAATAAATAGATAAACATTCAAACTTTGTTAGTTATATTGTTTTAAACTGTCATTAACTAGACTGTTAATAATAAAACTATCATCAGCATTTTCTAACATACAAATTCAGCACACACTGACATTCTAACATGGTACGTTTTTTGTATGAACTTCATTGCCAATTGCTTGGTTGTCACTCAAGAGACATTTTTCTCTTCTTCCCTAGATACATTTTGGTATCCTAATTTCTCAATTGGCAAATATTTTTTGATCATGTATCTGGTTCAGTAAATATAAGTTTTTGAGCCATACCAAGTGTGAATGCCAATAAATAAAATTTATATCACATTTCTAAAATTGGTTTATGTGAAAACAAAGAGTTAAGTTTCCAAGTTGGGTTGGGCTACTTATTTTGAAAAATAGTAGTCCTAGGGTCCAACATACATGTAGTCAGTTAGGCTATTGTTAAAGGGGCACCTTCCAGTTAAGATTAATTTCACAACAAATTTACTTTCTGGATTAAAATAACAATGGATAACAAAAGATAGATTAACATTGTAAACAACATAAACAATAGTGTCCCATGATTCTTTGGTGCAATCCATGGGATTGAGTGGTTCCCCTTTAATTTTTATGTATTTATGCTTGAGATAGATAATCTGTTGGACTATACAACTGTGTTTTCCTGAAGTAAACTATAAATAGACCCAGGTATACAGTGGATGTGTAAGAAAACATCATTATTCCAGACAGTAAATTTTATCCCAAGAGAACACATGACACCTAGTAAATAATACAGTTTTATGGGGAATTCTGCACGTAGTCAGTCTACATGTGACACCCATTGAATGAGTTAATTAATTGTGATAGATATAGTTGCTATAGTGTGAAAACACTGAACAGCAGCTACATTTGTATTCAAGGTTAAACCTGAGGCACAAACTGAGTCAGTCAGTGAGTGGGTGGGTAGAGCTACACGTAAGAAGGCGTGACATTGTAAAAATAGTATATAATTTAAGGTTGATAAAACAAACTTAATAGTAAATTTATAGCCTCCTGCGGCAAGACACATTGTATCCACCATGTGATAACTACATACTAGCAGAAATGACTAGTCCATTTGAAAACTTAAACTTGTATGACACCTTATACTTATACCTTATTAAACACGTAAAATTCCCCGGAGGAATTAAAATGGTTACATTTACACTAAACAAAACTAGACTAATAATACAAAACATTAAGACTAAAGTAATGATTAAAAAAATAATAATAATAATAATAATCGAAATAAAAAAAAAAAAAACTTAAAAAAAAACATGAATAGTAATAAATCCCACTAACAGCAATAATAAATCAACATGAAAGACAAAACGATGCAGAAAATTATAACTTTTCTACATATTTAAACCAGCATAGTAAAAAAGCACAATTTAAGGAAGTCATTTGATCATATAATTAAGGAAGTCATTTGAGCGTGTCGGACTGTCAGACAGACAGGGGCATTCAGGCAAACAGTCAGCAATGTATTAGGGCTTTCCATATTTTAAATCTGGAGGGGATTTTTTTTCAAATATTTATATGTCAAGTGGGGACATATTTTTATTTACATTTATGTAGTCATGGGCAAAGTTTTATATACTTTATCTCATCAGGCCAGACTTTTTTATTCCTTGTTTCTCGAGATTTGTGTGATTCTCAAAGAATTGTAAGTGAGATCATTGATCGGAGACAAGAAATGAAATAAAATTTTATTCCATGTATAACCTTGTTTCTCATCTGCGTGAGACTTCGGTACTTTGATCATGATACTCCCACGAAAATGCAACTTGGGTTTGTTATGCGGCGGGCAGAAAAAAAATGAAGAAAAAAAATAAGGTTTTTCCAGCAATTTTTAGCACTTACAAGTCTGCAGGCGCGAGAAATTACGCTGAAATAAAATTTTATTTTTATTTCATTTTCGGCTTTTGTTCATTCGGCGGATTTGCGAAACAAGGGATAATAACAGTCTGGCCTCACCAACAACATATTACTCCCCAAATACTGCAACCCAATTTTCACATAAATAATCCCTTAAAAAAAACACCACATTCCATATTGTAAACATATCTTAACATATTTTTAATCAGCTATTAAAAATTACATTCAAAATTAATCCTGACCAAACTTTTATATTAAAAAAAAATCCCCCCAAATAATAGGAGCTAGCATATTAAATTTACCCTAGATTGATTAAGTCCCCTAATCATGTCACTCTGAAATACAAATTTATTAGTTGCTGACCAGACGAAAATAAAATACAAAAATACAGTGTGTGGTCACTTAGTAGATCAATAACAGGCATGCATACGACAGGGGGGTTTACACAATAAGGTATTAACGGTTTGCATGATCTATACAATGCTTTGATCAGATCACTTTACAGTTGTCACGTACACCATCATGATTTGTCCATTCATAGTACGGACAAGCATAAAGCCAGCACTGTAATAATAATATAGAGCATCGGGTATAGCATTAACTACTGA